AGTTAAAGTGGTTTTGGTCCTCAGAGGAGATACATTTTCTGATCGAGTACTGTCTTGCAGAGTAAAGTTCCATGAAGTGTGATTCCCTGAGTGTAGATCACTGTTCTGAACATCCTCTGGAAGTTCTGCACGTGTCTCTTACCAGTTATATTTTAAAACAAGAAGAAGAGAAGGGAAGACACTGGATTTACCAGCTTCACCTGCTGCTCTGTTGGATTGGAACCAGTGAGCTTGGGGTGATGGGCCTACAAGAAAGCTGGGGAGGGACTTTTCATAAGGGCAGTTAATGAAGAACAAGGGGTGATGGCTCTAAACTGAAAGAGGGCAGGTTTAGATTAGATATTAAAAAGAAGTTCTTGGCTGTGAGGGTGGTTAGACCCTGGCCCAGGCTGGCCAGAGAAGCTGTGGCTGCTCCTCCCTGGAAGTGTTTAAGGCCAGGTTGGATGAGGCTTTGAGCAACCTGGTCTAGTGGAAGGTGTCCCTGCTGCTGGCAGGGGGGTTGGGACTGGATGAGCTTTAAGGTCCCTTCCAACCCAAACCAGTCTGGGACTCTATGCTATGGCCAGGTGCTCCTCTACACCAAAGCTGTTGGTTAGAGCTGTAACTCATGAAGCTGTACAGTCCTTGAGATGAGTGTCAGGTGCTCTGTTAGTGCTCTGGCATGGTAGGATAGCTTATTTCCTTTCTGCTGTAGGAGCTTCTGCCCTACCACAGCAATGCCAGCATTGTGTGTCTTCTGCTTGTGCCACCCAAACTGTGTCCAAGTAGCTGTTGTGCAGAAACCACTCTCTCTTATGGAGATCTCGCAGCTAGATTGCCTAGGGAGGTGTTAAAGATCAAGGAAATGGTGCTGGGGTGCTGTAGGGGACACTGATATACATCCAGCAGCTGGGTTTGGTGTGAGTTTTTTGTCTAAAAGAGATGTTTGTGTGTCACAGGGTCCTGCTGTGGTTTGACAGGCCCGTGAGAAATTCAGCTTATAGGCATTTATGTTCTCTTACTACCCTCATCCCCCAAATCAGAAGCATCATCTCAATAAGATTGTGTTGTAAAGAGCTTTAAAAGGTGTAGATAGGGGAAGCTGATACAGAACTTAAATAATTAGCAATAATTCCTGTTCCACTGGAGTGGAAGATATTTGTGTAAGTTATTGCTTAGGTTCCATCTGAGCTGCTCAACTCTCCTTGACAAATTTCTTTCTTAAAAGCTTCCAACTCTTGCTTGAGCCAGTAAACTGAAAACAGCATCCAAAACCATCAGGTACACCTGGATGTTACAGAATTCAGGGAAAGCTTCTCCTCACTCTGAAGTGAGGCCTCAGCCAGCCTGTCCTTCTGTGGTTCACTTGAAAGTTGATTATATTTAAAGATGGACTGTTATTTTCTGCTTCATCACTTTCAGACAGACCTTTACAGGGACATACTCCAAAAAAATTAGGGTCTGAACAGCATGTCCCTAAATGTGTAAACATTCTTCTGATATTAAAGGGTCAGTTTCCCCCCGGGTGAAATCTGCAGAGGGAAGGAAGAAAATTGTACAACTCTAAAGAAAGTTGTAATGGGAACTTTATTTTTGTTTGCTGTTGTGTTTTGATTCAACTCTTGTGAGTTATTTGTTGAAAGGTGACCCTGGAGATTTTTAAAAGTTTACTAAGACTTTTTATTTTCTCTTTTTAGATGCAGAGATTGGCTGACTTAGAGAGACTGTTTAGGAAGCTCTGAGCTCACTGATGTTGGGAAAGACTAGGGACACTGCAAATGTAGAACTCCAGGACTGAAAACTTTCTACTTATAAATGCCCCCATCGCACTGGTCTCTAACTTACAGCTGCAGAAAAACCTCGTGCAGCAATTGGAGGCACCCAAATGGCTCCCGCAGATACGGCAACGGTTCTGTTATCTGCAGCAGCTTTACTGTCACATGAAAAGTAAAAGTGCCACAACCTGACACTTCTCAGCTGTGGAGCTGACTTGGACCAACTCCAGAGCTCATGGCCAGGTGGCAGCTGTGCTGGCTCGGTGCTGAGGGATGATAATAGCACCGAGCTGTAAACAGGACGCTCCACCCTGCCTTGGTGCCTCTCACACACCCTCCTCCTCATGCCCGAAACGCTGGGCTGTACCTACAGCCTTTGCAGTGGAAGGAGAGGCAACCTGCTTCCAGCAGCACCCTCTGTCTCCCAGCTGCCCCCTGCCCTTTGGGCTTCTCAGTGCTGCTTGAAAACAAACTGAATTGTTCAGTAGCAGAGCTGTGCTTTGTGAAAAGGAACGATGGTTCTTGACATTCAGGCTTCAGTAGCTTTAGATGTTTGTCAGCCAGGGTACTCAGTTGATGTAGTTGTCACTGTAGGAGGCCGTATCTCCTCTGTTTGCATCTTCTCGAGGTCCTTTCCGGCTGGTTTTGACTGTGGAGGTGTTCAGAGAAGGACAACAAAGCTGATGAAGGGTCTGGAGCACAAGTGTGATGAGTTCCCAGCTGAGGGAAATGAGGTTGTTTAGTCTGGAGGCTGAGGGGAGACCTTCTGGCTCTGTCCAAGTCCCTGCAAGGAGGGTGGAGAGAGGTGGGGGTGGGTCTGTTCAACCAAGGACCAAGGGACAGGACAAGAGGAAATGGGCTCCAGTTGTGGCCAGGGCAGTTGAGATGGGATGTGAGGAAGAATTTCTTTGCTGAAAGGGTTCTGAGGCATTGGAAGGGGTTGCCCAGGGCAGTGGTGGAGTCCCCATCCCTGGAGGGATTGAAGAGTCGTGTAGACACAGTGCTGAGGGACATGGGTTAGTCATAGGGGACTGGTCAGTGTTGGGTTCATGGTTGGACTCGATGATCTTCAAGATCTCTTATAAACGAGGCGATTTTGGGATTCTGTGTTGCCCGTGTTGAAGGTTTAGCATATGAAGGTGACTCTCATCACTCTGGATGTGATGGTTGTATCAAAGGGAGCCTTTTGGAGAGCTTTGTGGGGACCATGTGCTGTCAGAGCAAGGTGTGAGAAGAGGCTGCCCTATTGCAGTAGCATGTCCAGTTCTCCTGCCAGCAGTGTGAGAGGAAGAGGCAGCTGAAGTCATACGTCATGGAGATGCAAGTAACGTAGCCTGTGGGGGGCAATGAGGCTCTGAAGAGGAAGCTGTGGTTGGGTACGAGTTTCTGAATTAGTTAGTGGAGTTAGTGGTAGCTGTCTGTTAACTGTTGGGAGCAGGGAGTGTGCCTTGAAATGCCAGCTGGACCCAAGACAATGAGCCTTTAATCCACTGTGGACCTTATGAGGTGTGGCTGTCATGCAAGGACTAAGGCTGCTCTCTCCTTCCCACGTGGCTTTTTGTTCCTACCCTTTTCTCACCTAGAACGTGGAATTTCACTGCTCAAATGGTATTTTAGCTGATAAAAAAATAAATGTATTTAACAGCCCACGTCCCTGGAACAGCCTCGGTGTGAACCTGCAGCTCAGCACCTCTGTATGGAGAAATATTTGCCAAACACAACGTAGTGCTTAACAGTTTAACTCTGTTTTTAGTGTGGTTAACTTGTTACCTGCCTGCCCTGCCCTCATTTTGGGGAGGAAGGAGAGAATATCTGTACACAAAGCACCTGGAGCTGAGAGCTGTGCGTGGCCTTAATATCTTGCCAGGAGGCCACGGGGCTGGTTCTCATGTGCGTGGTAATTTGCGTGTCTAATCAACATGAAATGCAAACAGACTTTCCAGCTGGCTTCAACTTGCCTCTTTCTTGCTCCTCTTTTTTGATTTTGGTGATAACACCTGGGGTTTTTTTCAGCTGCAAGGGTGCTGACAGGACTGTAGAAGAAGGTGGCTGTGCCCATGGGCCACACATTGATCACGTTGAGGTTGGAGCTGGACAGGAGGAGATGGGGAAGGCGAGCAAAGTGTGTGATTTATGTCTCCCCTCGGTGTAGCCTGCCAAGAGAGACACTTGGCTCTCCATCCTCACGATGGGATTGTGCTGGTGTGCATCATTGCTGACACACAAACTTAAACTCGTTACCTTTATAAAGCTTTTCTGTTAATCATGTTTCTAGCTACCGCTACAACAGTAATGTCTGAACAGGCCATGTGGCCAGCTCGTGGGAGCTGGGCAGACCCAGAGCTCCTGGATGTGAGCTCAGGCTCTGCCAGCGATGGGTGATGACAGGGAACACGTTGTGCATCTCACGTTCTGGGCTTTGCTGAACGAACACACTCACCTAGTAATGACACCGAGTTCTCACGTAGTCCCGCTGGAACTACTGCAGCATCCAAAACTTTGCAGACCTTCTCTTGGCCTCCTTAAAATTGGAAGTGAGCAGTAGCGTGCTTCCTTTGGGGAAACTGAGGCACACAGGTTCCCTTTCCCATGGGTAAGAGCCTGGATTCTCTGACTAAGCATTGTGCTCCAGCTAGTAAGAAATACGGCCTTATAGACAGCGTGGTGGTGATCTTTTTCTACAGTGTTTATGCAAAACCACATGGACATTCTGAGTATTTCACTCAGTTGTGTAGCAGCTACTTCTTCTTTGACTGGAATGTCTAATCAATGGCTTCAAGCAGCCACTCAAGGACTGCAATCAAATCTCTGCTTCTAGAGAAGCAATCTCTTGGTGATAAGCTTGAACACCTCTGCAGCAGAGCGGAGGAGGGAGTAGAGGAGCAGATCCAGCAGTCAACCCACCAGCCCTTGCTCGCCTGTTCCACTGAAGGGCTGTTTCTCTTGCTGCTTGTTTTCCACAACTGCCTTTGGAGCAGCAAATCTGCCCGTGCTGAGGCTGGGCAGCCCCGTGGCCTTGGCAGGGAAGAGCTGCTGCTGTTGTGAGAGTGGGAATTCATTGGGACTGTTAGAAGGATTGGCACTCTGGTTTCTGAAAAATCAATGGACTTTTCCAGGCTGTACACGCTAATTCCCTTCTTGTGATCTTTGCAGCAGACGTGGGTTTGTTAATTGTGATGGTTGTTGCTGAATCTTTGCTTTGGAAGTCTAATTTTCTTTGTTTTTTCCCCCCCACCCCTTGTCTAGCCAGTGTTCCCTGTGCTGCTGCTGCTGAGAAGACGTGCCGGCCCCGGCAGCCCCGTGTGCGACGCACCTCTTCGCTGGACACCATCGTGGGCTCCTACCTGCTGGGACAGTGGCCACGGGATGCTGAAGGAGCTTCCACTTCCTGCATGAATGACAAAGCGACCCAGGTATCAGTGCCTGCGGGGCTGCCCTTGAAGTCTGTGGGCCAGGAGAGGGTTGCAGGAGTGAAAAGAGCTGTGTGAATGGAGGTGAACAGGGAGGGCATTGAATTTCCATCCGTCCAGCTGCAACTTTCTAGGAAGGCTTTTTTTTTTTTAATTTCCCTTTTTGCTTCTCAGCTTCAATTGATTCCACTTTGGTGCAGAGTTAGAATTTCCTTGGCCTTGTTTGGAGGCAGATGGCCTCTGGCTTTCTGCTCCAGTACTGGCTCAGTGCTGATTTTTTTTTTAACATATTTTTTTCTTTCTGGCTTCCAGTTCTGGGCCAAATCCTTATATAACACTCACGGGCTGTGTGCCACACACTGCGAGAAGTCAAGGGTGCTGCCACAGAAGGGCTCACTAACACGAATGGTTCAGCTCTCTACTGTAGAATGGAAAAGCTCCAGACCTCGAGGAACTCTTAGCAACCTGTAAATATTACTGTGTGGCAGCAAATAGCACTTGCCTATCTGCAGAGGTGAAGGAATTCAGAAGGATAAGAGTATCCGTTTGCTTAACGAGTTGTTTATTTAGCACGTTCAGTCTCTGGTAACTTGCTGTTTGATCTTTGCTATTCAACAATTTATTACCGAGGTTGTTTGCAGGAAATTCTCAATTAGATTCCAACTTCCATTGTCCTTTTCCAAAGTCTTCTTGCCTGCTTTTGTTTCAGTTCTAGTGTCCTGGAGCACTGCTGAGGGCAGAGGGCATGCTGGAGAGGAAGGGAAAGACTTTGTCTCACTTGATCTCCGAGTTGGGGAAGCACACTCTTCCTTTCTGTCTTCATCAGCAGTGGTGGAACACTTCACCTCAGTGTTTTGGGGCTATCTAGCTTTTCTTGCATGTAGCCTTTCTGGGGAAAGGCTTTTGGAGAAGAGGGACACCTTCCTGGAATGGAAGATACCAGTATGTTAATTCTGCTGAGCCTGGAGCTGATCGCTCCTCTCTGCAGTGAATAGCCCAGGTGTGCTGGAGTCTCTTTCATCACTTATCTGCAGAGTGTCTTGCAAATGCTAATTTTTACCTTGCAACATGCCTGTGAAACGTGATCTCCACAAACCTCTGTGTCAAATGACTTGTCTGTTGAAAGCTGGGAATAAAATCCTCATTTCTAGACTGTCCTGTGCATTAATAGAATATTCCTCGTGGTGACCTCCAGGACTTTTCCACTCCTACCATGTTTTTTAGGCTGAATAGTTCTCAAATTTGGGACTTTCTCTGCTAGCCACTACATGTTTACTTCCTTCCTTCCTTCTTCGGCTGCTGATCAGCTGTTTTGCAGAGCTCTGTAGATTTGCTGTCAGAAGGTGGTTAAGTGAAGAGATAGAACTGCAGGTGCTCAGCGTGGGGGTGAGGATGGCAGCACTACACACGATTGGAGCTTGTGGCTTTATCTTGCACTACAAAGCTTGAGGGTTTTTTTCTCTCTCTCTCTCTCCTTTCTCTGAGGAAGCGGTTTTGCCACAGTTAGTACAAAAGGTTCTGTAATTTCCTTCTCCCTTGACAGTCTGCCTGCAAGAGGTGGGACGCTTCTGTGCTCTTTATTTTCAGTCCTTCCTATTGCAAACTGTGTCTTTTTCTTCCTTTTTAGGCCCTGTTTTTTGGTCAGCGTCGCTGCAGCGCTCAGCGGAGTGTCACTGCAATAAGTGACTTCTCCAACAGTCCTCAGGAGGCTTCTCAGTGACTTGAGGAGGGTTTTTGTCACGTCCTGGAAAACCAGGACTGTTGTTAACAGCTGGAGTTCAGCTTCCCACAGATTTGTTTCTTGCAGTAATGTGGGATAGGGCTGCGGTCTTGTTTCTTAGACCTTTGCCTCTTCTCCTTCGCTTTCTTAATGTGTGTGATCTGCTGGGATATAAAATGACGCAATGTTTTGGGATAACAGCCAAATAATGATGTTTGAGTTGTTTAGGAGAGAATATTTGAGGTAGGAAATGAGGTCAGATGTGCCATGTGCTGGAACTGCAAGGTTTGGTCTTTGTGGTGGGATTCCCTGTCATGTTGGTCTGTTCCTCAGCTCTGTCTGACCCACAGGTCAGGGGTGGCACAGGGATGTGACCAGCTGCTCTGAGCTTAACAGAACCTCAGAGCAGTGGTTTGGGCTGAAGAGATTTCTTCTTGCTGGTGAAGGGTCTGGAGCACATCTTGTGAGGAGCAGCTGAGGGAACTGGGGTTGTTGAGCCTGGAGAAAAGGAGGCTGAGGGGAGACCTTCTGGCTCTGTCCAACTCCTTGGAGAGGGTGGAGAGAGGTGGGGGTGGGTCTGTTCAACCAAGGCCCAAGGGACAGGACAAGAGGAAATGGGCTCCAGTTGTGTCCAGGGCAGTTGAGCTGGGATGTGAGGAAGAATTTCTTTGCTGAAAGGGTTCTGAGGCATTGGAAGGGGTTGCCCAGGGCAGTGGTGGAGTCCCCATCCCTGGAGGGATTGAAGAGTCGTGTAGACACAGTGCTGAGGGACATGGGTTAGTCATAGGGGACTGGTCAGTGTTGGGTTCATGGTTGGACTCGATGAGCTTAAAGATCTTTTATAATCAAGGCAGTTCGGTGCTTCTCTCAAACCAAGCTGATCAGGGTGTTGAAGGGAACTGCACCCTGGTGTCTGCTGCTCACAGGCGTTGTGACATGGAGAGCTGAGCACCAAATGGTTTCAGCTGCCGGGAACGCAGCGTGCTCTGTGTGCAAGGAGAGGTTTCATCCAGAGCCTGTTAGGTCAGGACAGGGTTGGATTTCTGCCTAGAAATCACCTGTGTCCCTTCACAGACGGGGAAAACCTGGTGCCTCTCAAGGTAACTTGCCTTGTTCATTTGGTTTAAATAGATTTTGAAACTTGGTTTGAGAGAAGAGGTTTCTCTCATCCCCGTGACTTAACAGGGTTGTTTAAAACAGCTGCTGTTCTTGCAGTAGCCTCTGGGGAGATCAGTTCAGCTGCTTGGAGAGGAACTGTTCTCAGGCCCTTGCACCTTCTGGCAGCTCCTAGCTGAGGATGGAGCAGGGAAGTATCATCCAAAGCCTCCCACAGAAATGGGCAGGCAGCAGTGACACAGGGTGAGTGTTTTGAGAGGCATTGAAATGTGATGTTGGGGGGGAAAAAGTGATGGCTAGTCTAGAAACCGATGTGTCTTGGGACTGTTTGGATCCTGGAGTCTCCGCTGAGAGGGCTGAGTTCAGTGGAAGGAAGTTCACACCCTTTTGCTGATCAGATTAACAAGCCCTTTCTGATTTCCATTGATATTGAAAATGGAGCCTGTTGCTTGGAAAATGACTGTGTGATGTGGTGCTGAGGGGGTTTTTCTGCATGAAGAGAGTCAGCTGAGAACTGCCAGCCCTGGCAGCCGGAGGGGTGTGAGCTGCAGAGGCAGCTGGGTTCTCGCTGTGCTCCAGCAGCAGCAGCCAGTCTGCAGGCCAAGCTCTAGTTTTGGTTACGCCTTTGTACTCTGCTACAGGAGCCTGATGTTTCAGAAGCAAGTTGTGTGTTCTCACAGTTGGGTGAGGCTTTTCCTCTCGGTAATGCTTCTTCCTACAATGAGTGCCTGAAACCCGACGTCACCACCGTTCAGGAGCCTGTGCCAGCAGCTCAGGGGGTGGCTGTGGGGTTTTTTTTGTGGTGTGCTTTATCTCCCTGTGTACTTGTGGTGATTAAACCACTAACTTCTGGCCAGGTCTTTCACCACGTAGGTCTGTGAGGTTCAGTTTCTTGATAGACATGGATCTGGCCGGAATGACTTTGTTTTTGGCAAATCTCAATAGCTGGTTATCTCCTTAATGCACATTACTGAGGATTGTATTAATGGGGAGAGACTGGAACAGGGCTGTGAACGGGCAGGAGCTGATCACTTCTTCCTGGGACTCTACCACTGGTGTCTAAACCAATGTTGTGATGATTCTCAGCCGTGTTTCTCATCACTTCAGACTCCAGTCTCCTGGCATGATGCGGAAGTGGGGAAAGCCAGCTCCGGCGCTCACAAGCGTTCAGCTTCTTGGGGTAGCACAGATCACCGCAGAGAGGTAACATAGATCCATCCCTCCCAATGCTTCTGCAAGGTCTCTGTTAGTTGCTAACGTTCAGGAGGCTCCTGCTTGCACGGGAGGGGAGTGGGAGGACAGGATGCTGGTGAAGATGAGACCTTAGCCCTCGTTTATCATCCCTAACGCTCTGTGATTCAGCTGCAGACTGATCTCGTTGGCTTCCTCCAGCAGGCAGCTGGTGTCAAGTAGCTCCACTGAAACTCAGTGCCTTGCTTGTCGGTGTCGTGGTGTTTGTGGGTCCCAGCAGAGCCTGGTTCCCAACGCTCCGTAGGTAGAAGATAACCCAGAGATAATCCAGGAGAGAAAGGGCACTGGCCACGTTGCAATGGGGGAGTTTGTGACGAGGCTTTGTGACTACTTCTGGTCCATCCCTTGAGAGGTGGCCAGAGCTGCTGCTTGTGTGACTGAAACCATCTCTATTTTGGCACTTCCTCGTGGGTTGGCAGAGAGGGGGAGGAGAGAGACAAAGCATGATCCTTTTTGGTGGAGGTGTGTTGGCTCGTCTGGTTCTGTAGCTGTGACTTTGTTTGCTAGATTGCCAAACTGAAGCAACAGCTCCAGCGAACGAAGCTAAATGGCAGAAGTGGCAAAGAAAAGGAGAAGAGCTCCCCACTGCAGGGAGACCACGCTGTCCTTGGATCCCTCAGGGTACGTTCACATGTCCCCCTGCTCTTCTGTCACCGTATGTCCTAGTGAGGTGGAGAACAAGCTCCTTTGGGCAGGTGTCCAAGCTGTTCTCAGACTTCTGCTCTCAAGCCTGAGAAGGGAGGATTTTTTTCCTCTTTTTTTTTTTTCCCCCACCTCTTCAACCCCGTTCTTTGATCTGCTGTCAGTGAGTTCACATGACTCTGCTGTCAGTCTTCTCCTGGCTGAGCCCTGGAGAGCTGTGGGAACAGGATGTAACTGCTGAGTTTGTGCAGATAAAACTCTTTAACTTCTTTAATTCTGGATTGTTACAGGACTCTCCTTCAGGCTTCCTTTCTCCATCTCCCATTTTGAGGTTCAGCCCCTGCTTGCATAGAAGCCTGGAAGGGCTAAACCAGGAACTGGAGGAAGCATTTGTGAAGGAACAGGGAGATGAAGAGCTTTTGCGGGTAAGTGAAGGTCACAAGATTGCCCTGAATCTTCTGGGTGGTCTTGGAAATCCTTTCCTCTAAAGACACTGCCTGTATCTTTCTTGGCTATGGGGATGGTCTCTTGTGTCGAGTTTTAGTTTGTTCTGGGCATGTCACTGACTAAATTGGGTCAAGTGGCTGCTGGCTTCTGTCCCTAAAACTTGCTGGTGCTATGAAAGGTCAGCCAGTAGTAATCTCGGGATAGATGACACCTCATTGACAGTTTTAAGACACTTAGACTGGCATCCAGAGGCTACTTTGTACTGTCCAGATGTGGGAGAAGGGATCCCAGGTGGTTTATGAACTGAAGTGCATCACAGGACAGGGAAGGGCCGGTGTCCTGGTTGCAGAAGGCTGTCTTGCTCCTGTCTGTGTCTGGATCCAGCACCTCAAGCAACCACCATCTGGAGGTTCAACTGCTGTTAAACCTCTTCAGTGGTGACACAGGTTTCTTGTTCTGCTGAAACTTTACTTCCTCCCTAGATACTGGATGTCCCAGATGGCCACAGGGCGCCAGCACCTGCCCAGAGAAGCTCTGGAGATGTGTCCCTGACTCTGGAGCCCAGCAGTGGCAGCTGCAGCAGCCTTTCTCTTTCTCCTTCCCCTTCTGTGCCTCTCCACCTTTCTCCACACACCCCGGTGAGACTGGCAGCAGAAGAGCCTTCCTCTGTGGTGGACGAGGTGCAGCCAGATCCCAAGGAGAAAGGTAAACAGGGAGAGAAGAAGGGCTGGAGGTATTGTCACCTGCAGCCCTGGGGTCTAGAAGAGCATGTCAGTTGTTAAGAGTGTTTGTTGGATTCTTCTGAAAATATCTTTCCTTTCCTGCTAGAGGAGAGCAGCCCTTCACCAGTCCTGGCCTTTGCTTCTTCTCCTCGACCCAACCACAGCTACATGTTTAAACGGGAACCTCCTGAGGGGTGTGAGAAGGTCCGGGCCTTTGAAGAAGCTTTGTAAGTATGAGGAGTCGTTGGCAGAAGAGAACTGACGTGAGGTGGGTCCTATGGGAAGATGCTGGAGTGGGAGCAGCTGAGGATTCTCTTGCTGCAATTGCCACCCCTACTCTATCCTAACAGTAGGGACCAGCCTCTAGGAAAACACTTGGAACAAAAATGTGTCTGCTCAGGCCCTGGTGGGAAGAGCCAAAAGCTGAATTGTTCAGCCTTGGACACGCTCAGAAGGATCTTGTGATTCCTGGCAGTAGTTTTTTCTCAGCCAGCTGAGCCTCTTGAGAAGAAGAGGTGGTTCTGCTACAAATAAATGTGCTTTCAAAACACAACAGGCTCGTGGTGCTGCTCTGTAGCTGAAGGCCAGTTCCACCTCACAGAGGCAGTTCAGCTTTCAGTCGGGCTCTTTGAAGCTCACACAACTCCAGGTGTTTCCCCTGTGGCTGCTCGGTGCCCTTGGCAGTGTCTGTTCCTAATCGTGTCCTCTCTGTCTCTCTCCTTCAGCTCCCCCAGCCCTGATCAACCTTTTCAACCTTCCTGCCCAGATAAGAACAAAGTGCACTTCAACCCCACTGGTTCTGCCTTCTGCCCCGTCAGCCTGGTGAAACCTCTTTTCCCAAACGTGGGTTTCCTCTTCAGGGGTTTTCCAGCTTCTTCCAACCCTGGCACGGGCACGTTTACATCTTGCCAGCCCACGGCCACCACCACCCCGTTCCTGGGGATGCGGAAGGACGCTGCTGTAGATAACTTCAGCGAGGTGGCCAAGTCTCCTTCACTGAATTACGAACACTGGAAGCA